AAAGACCGAGGCAAAGACAAACGCAAATTTCCTCCTAACTTCTTAAATTTATTTAAAAACGAGTGCTGTTAAAATTTGTGCACATTCCCTTCTAAACCAGGCCATTTGGTTACATCGCACCCCGGGTCAAAATCTTCAGTCCGGCTCTGTTTGTACTACTCATGAAGGATTTCCTAACTTAAGAGCGTGTTCGAAACTCAGCCAATGACTACAGTCTCAAGTGGAAACAAGAAAGAAGATACATAAGTCCATTCTCACAGATTATTTATTGCAGGCTTTGTCAATTTTGATTGTCTCAAATATACCCATGATCGACTGGTTGGTAATCCCTGTACTATTATTGGTACTTTATGATAACTGTTTTACTAATATACTATATATATTGGATTTAATTACAACGACAAATTCAAATTGATGTGTTTTTTGCACGTTTGACTCCATAGGTGATGGCGCCTAAGGAGGTTTTAAACGAATGGCAAATGAGGCCACAGAAACTGGTAGCGAGATACATAAAAAGGTACCTCCAAATGAAAGGTAGGCTTTCGTTCGAGGGTCACGGGTCGATGGCTGTGAAAAGTCCTAGGAGATTCAAACTGGTCCAACAGGAATCCATTAAAATAGAAAACCGTGAAGGCAATTGAAATAAATTATTCCGTTTCTAGCCAATGCTTGGGAAAATAGTTAAGAGACCGGCAAAATTAGATAAAAAGTTAGTCAGAGATTTAAGGGCAATGACCGATCCTGAAGATCCTTATCTTACAGTTACTGGAAAGACTATGTGCACATCAGACTTTTACGAAGGTAGATACCATGGACATTACCTACTTACCTCTTCAAATTATTATAAACCACAATATAAATAATTGATCGTTCGGAAATTATGGCTTCACCAGTGGGTCTTACTAATAAAAAAGAAAAAACAACCACAATTCATAATGTAAGCCATAAGAATTGAATATTGTTCGAAAAACATTATGGTTTTTATGAAGCAAAAGAAATTATTGTTTCCTATTTTTATCATCATCATCATCATACGGTCGTCAGTCCTGAGACTGGTTGGGCACGTACCTCCACTCTTTCCTATCCTGAGGTAAACTTCGCTAAATTTCCGTAAAACTAGAACAACCCTATCTGCGAACAGTAATCTAATCTAGGTCTATCTCTACCCCTCCTAACTCCTGTTTATGCCTCTAATATGTCTCTGACTAGACCTTCATGCCTGAGAAGGTGTGCTACCAATCTATCTCGCCTATTTCTTATTGACTTCCATAGGATTCTCTCTTCTCCTATTCTTTCTAATACCTCTTCATTTCNACGATTATTGTATAAACATTCGAAGTGCAAAGGTGAAAGGCATGTGATATAAATTGTTGTAGGTGCAAAACATAACAAAATAAACTAGAAGGAGAATGAAAGTTAGATAATATTAATTCTTTTGTTCGTTCATATATTATATAACTACAAAACTTATTACAAAGCTAGAAATAAGCTGATTACGTAATATCTTCATTTTGACTTGGTACATTAATGTCATTATAGCAGCATCCCTTAATTATTGTTACGTTGCTGTATAATACCTTATGTCTGCTACAAATAGTCGCAAACAAGCAACAACGAGGGTGTTACCTTTAATAATAACTGCACTATTCCGTCCCCTACGTATTCATTTACAAATTAAAGACCTTTTGAAGGAATTGTTTCTAGATTTGCTAGTTTAATAGCCTTATGGTTTTGTTAATATAAGAACACTTGGTTAAATTTATAAATCTATTTCAAAAACTTTCATGTTTCAACTATTATGCTTTATCCTAATATTTATAGTACAAAGTAATAGAAAATTAATAGAAAATACGCATGCCTAGTTCCAAATTGATATCAACATCTGCCATATCGCCACTTATCATACCTTTAGAAAGGAACTAAGAAATTCTAGGAATTACGGCAAAACAGCTCCCAAAACGATATCGAATTAATATACGTCAGCTGTTTAAAACTGAAATCTACAAGATACTGTGGTGTGCTAATAAATTCATTAAATAGGTACTACAAAAAAGCATTTGCGTTTTGTATTTAAATACTTTTAAAAAACCATCTTACACATCTCTAGGTATACTACTTGCTATAAGGTCTTACCGTTTGTTTATAGTGCAAAACATATTTAAAATCCACTATGTTCGAAAGAAAAATACAAGAATTTCTTAAGAACGGAATAATTGAAAGCTTTATTAAAAATCACTAGAGCTTTTGCTAATTTAGAAACTTTTTACATAATGATGTTGCTTTGATCTTCTTCCTTTCTAATTTACTTGATAAATAAAACAGAACAAAAAATAAGTTCATAAAATATTTAATTTGGGTCGGGTTCAAATTCAAAATATTAAATAAGGTAAAGCAAACTCAACAAATTATTTTTCCCAACTCAACCAGAATTCATTAACAATGATAACGTATTAGGAACAAGTAAGAGTAATAAAAAAGTTGCCACATTTTCTCCAAAAGGTACCTAATATCTTTAAAAATCGACCAATAAGATTATATATTCATGATTCAATTTTTTTAACGATTTACTTCTACATGCAGTAAAAACACTCTACTCTAATTAGTTAATTATGAAAACTTTGAGAAACGAATTGTTTATTATTTGAACGTAATCCGTAACATAAATGAAAGTAATTGACCAATCAAATTACGCTTTTGTTAGGTACAAGTAAAAACTGACTTCTGCATACAAAGACCTTGATAAGTTGCTTCAATTTTTAGCAGAAAGTTATTGATTACTTTAAAGTATGTTTTAGCGAATCTGTTTATACATGACGTAAGCATACACGTATACAACAAGTGATACTTATGTTTGCAAACAACTCCATAAAGCGTGTAATGTTACGTNTACAGTTACTGGAAAGACTATGTGCACATCAGATTTTTACGAAGGTAAATGCCATGGACATTACCTACTTACCTCTTCAAATTATTATAAACCACAATATAAATAATTGATCGTTCGGAAATTATGGCTTCACCAGTGGGTCTTACTAATAAAAAAGAAAAAACAACCACAATTCATAATGTAAGCCATAAGAATTGAATATTGTTCGAAAAACATTATGGTTTTTATGAAGCAAAAGAAATTATTGTTTCCTATTTTTATCATCATCATCATCATACGGTCGTCAGTCCTGAGACTGGTTGGGCACGTACCTCCACTCTTTCCTATCCTGAGGTAAACTTCGCTAAATTTCCGTAAAACTAGAACAACCCTATCTGCGAACAGTAATCTAATCTAGGTCTATCTCTACCCCTCCTAACTCCTGTTTATGCCTCTAATATGTCTCTGACTAGACCTTCATGCCTGAGAAGGTGTGCTACCAATCTATCTCGCCTATTTCTTATTGACTTCCATAGGATTCTCTCTTCTCCTATTCTTTCTAATACCTCTTCATTTCTAACCTTTTCTATCCACGGTATCCTCATCATTCGCCTGTAACACCACATTTCGAAAGCTTCTAATGTTTTCTTTTCCGCCGCGCCCACTGTCCATGTTTCGCACCCGTACAACGCTGCGATCCAAACATACACCTTCAACAACCTTTTTCGAATTTCTAACTTAAGCTTGAAAGTCCAATAATCAAAAGAAGGTTCCAAAGATGTCTTCAAATAGCATCTTCTTCATTTATTATTAATTTGAAGAAGACGTTTTCGTTCATTAATTTAACGTTATCTGTAGTGAGTAAAGCTAATTTCAAAAAATGAATTCACTAATGCGTTGAATTAACCCTGCAAAACTTCAAAGTGTCTAAATAACGAACGTAAATTGTTTAATCAGCAGCTTCTCGAAGCTCCTAGACATTATTGACTTATTGACTCTCATCAGCGCATCCTAACAGGTACTTTCCATAAATTATTGTCCATACTGAAGTTGTCCTATACAAGTAAAATGATTATTGTCAAGTAAGTGAAAGTACATTGCCGTCTACATATATTTAATTACTGTGATCTGTTTGGTATGTATTATTATAATATATATCCTTATAAAGCTTTGACAAAAATTGTGAAAAACTATAATTAGCTGCCACAGATGATTATTATTAATTATCTTACTTGCATGGAGTAACTTTGGTTGGGTCAAAAACGTATCGAAACTATACGTTGTTTAGAATCTTAGAAACTTTCAAATGCCTTTGCCAATTGCTCATTTTCCTCGACATATACAACCAGAGATGAAGCTCTAGATAGACCGATAAAGTAGAAATGTAGAAATCAATCAACAGGTGGAGTTTTGTCATTGCACAAACTAAAGTCAAGGTTCATGTCATTTTAAATTACCTCTACCTACGGTGTGCTGATGAAAGTCATTGCTGAACAAGAACTTAACATCCCTTCTTTGATTAGTTTTGAGTATCTATATCATCTACATAATCTTCGTGACAGATTCAGTTGGCAGATAGATGCTTTTGTAAGGAACGTATCGACCATTTTAAAATAAACAGCTGCACATGGGGGTGATACACTGCTAGTTGCTAAATATTCTGTAATTTATTTAGAACAAGCAAGACTGGATGGGGCATTTTGCGAATATGGCGAGCAAGAAAAGCTCGACTATATGAATCAGCTTCGTAGTAACGGTGTAATCAACATCGAGATGGAATCGATACCGTTCGCAGCCCTTACCCATCATGCGGGCATAAAGGCAGCCATTGTCTGCGTCGCACTCTTAGACAGATTAAAAGGAGATCAAGTAAGAAAATACGAACAAATACGCANTAATCTTCGTGACAGATTCAGTTGGCAGATAGATGCTTTTGTAAGGAACGTATCGACCATTTTAAAATAAACAGCTGCACATGGGGGTGATACACTGCTAGTTGCTAAATATTCTGTAATTTATTTAGAACAAGCAAGACTGGATGGGGCATTTTGCGAATATGGCGAGCAAGAAAAACTCGATTATATGAATCAGCTTCGTAGTAACGGTGTAATCAACATCGAAATGGAATCGATACCATTCGCAGCTCTTACCCATCATGCGGGCATAAAGGCAGCCATTGTCTGCGTCGCACTCTTAGACAGATTAAAAGGAGATCAAGTAAGAAAATACGAACAAATACGCATTACACTAAATTAACATGGGAAATTAATACGAAGATTGGAAAAACTTCGGCGGTTGTTGTAGAACAAATAAAATAGCTCAAACCCCAACGCCAAAACACGACACTGTAAACTAAACACTGAAGCCCCTAAAGAAGGTAACCTTGTTACCGAAAAGTGCTTCGGACAACTAAAGTGTCGTGTTTTGGCGTTGAGGTTTCGGCTATTTTGTTTGTTCTATGAGAAATTAATATTCACAAAATAATTTCTAGTATTTCCAAATCGAATTATGTATTGCCTTGGGATTATTCATTTCTAACGTAGCTCCTTTTTTATGAGTTATAGTTGGGACGTTCAATATTGGCATTGTCCGCAATAAAACTGTTGCATTTATTTTCTTCATTTAACTTACTAATTAGACTAGAGTCATTACTGATAGAACGCCTACTTTTGACTGACGACAAACGCTATTGGGAATATCGTAAAGATAGAAAAGAGATGCCAGGTGGGAATTGCAGCGGACACTAATAAATAAAAAGGAATAACACTATACCAATTGATGTGTAGCAGAAAGAGATGCAGACAAGCAGAATTTGAGCATGTTGTCAGTATCGGACTTTAATGAATGTTTAACATATTTAGAAAAGCACAAACGCGTGTTTAAAGTTATAATTCCAANTTCCCTTCTAAACCAGGCCATTTGGTTACATCGCACCCCGGGTCAAAATCTTCAGTCCGGCTCTGTTTGTACTACTCATGAAGGATTTCCTAACTTAAGAGCGTGTTCGAAACTCAGCCAATGACTACAGTCTCAAGTGGAAACAAGAAAGAAGATACATAAGTCCATTCTCACAGATTATTTATTGCAGGCTTTGTCAATTTTGATTGTCTCAAATATACCCATGATCGACTGGTTGGTAATCCCTGTACTATTATTGGTACTTTATGATAACTGTTTTACTAATATACTATATATATTGGATTTAATTACAACGACAAAATCAAATTGATGTGTTTTTTGCACGTTTGACTCCATAGGTGATGGCGCCTAAGGAGGTTTTAAACGAATGGCAAATGAGGCCACAGAAACTGGTAGCGAGATACATAAAAAGGTACCTCCAAATGAAAGGTAGGCTTTCGTTCGAGGGTCACGGGTCGATGGCTGTGAAAAGTCCTAGGAGATTCAAACTGGTCCAACAGGAATCCGAAACGTTTGACTAAATTTGAGAATGCAAGCTCAAATATTCACTATTTATACGTGTAGGCTATTTATTCTACGTCTATTATTTTGTTATTTAGCCTGTAACACCACATTTCGAAAGCTTCTAATTTTTTCTTTTCCGCCGCGCCCACTGTCCATGTTTCGCACCCGTACAACGCTGCGATCCAAACATACACCTTCAACAACCTTTTTCGAATTTCTAACTTAAGCTTGAAAGTCCAATAATCAAAAGAAGGTTCCAAAGATGTCTTCAAATAGCATCTTCTTCATTTATTATTAATTTGAAGAAGACGTTTTCGTTCATTAATTTAACGTTATCTGTAGTGAGTAAAGCTAATTTCAAAAAATGAATTCACTAATGCGTTGAATTAACCCTGCAAAACTTCAAAGTGTCTAAATAACGAACGTAAATTGTTTAATCAGCAGCTTCTCGAAGCTCCTAGACATTATTGACTTATTGACTCTCATCAGCGCATCCTAACAGGTACTTTCCATAAATTATTGACCTTATTGAAGTTGCTCTATATAAGCAAGATGATTACTGTCAAGTAAGTGAAAGTACATTGCCGTCTACATATATTTAATTACTGTGATCTGTTTGGTATGTATTATTATAATATATATCCTTATAAAGCTTTGACAAAAATTGTGAAAAACTATAATTAGCTGCCACAGATGATTATTATTAATTATCTTACTTGCATGGAGTAACTTTGGTTGGGTCAAAAACGTATCGAAACTATACGTTGTTTAGAATCTTAGAAACTTTCAAATGCCTTTGCCAATTGCTCATTTTCCTCGACATATACAACCAGAGATGAAGCTCTAGATAGACCGATAAAGTAGAAATGTAGAAATCAATCAACAGGTGGAGTTTTGTCATTGCACAAACTAAAGTCAAGGTTCATGTCATTTTAAATTACCTCTACCTACGGTGTGCTGATGAAAGTCATTGCTGAACAAGAACTTAACATCCCTTCTTTGATTAGTTTTGAGTATCTATATCATCTACATAATCTTCGTGACAGATTCAGTTGGCAGATAGATACTTTTGTGAGGAACGTATCGACCATTTTAAAATAAAGAGCTGCACATGCGGGTGATACACTGCTAGTTGCTAAATATTCTGTAATTTATTTAGAACAAGCAAGACTGGATGGGGCATTTTGCGAATATGGCGAGCAAGAAAAGCTCGACTATATGAATCAGCTTCGTAGTAACGGTGTAATCAACATCGAAATGGAATCGATACCATTCGCAGCTCTTACCCATCATGCGGGCATAAAGGCAGCCATTGTCTGCGTCGCACTCTTAGACAGATTAAAAGGAGATCAAGTAAGAAAATACGAACAAATACGCATTACACTAAATTAACATGGGAAATTAATACGAAGATTGGAAAAACTTCGGCGGTTGTTGTAGAACAAATAAAATAGCTCAAACCCCAACGCCAAAACACGACACTGTAGACTAAACACTGAAGCCCCTAAAGAAGGTAACCTTGTTACCGAAAAGTGCTTCGGACAACTAAAGTGTCGTGTTTTGGCGTTGAGGTTTCGGCTATTTTGTTTGTTCTATGAGAAATTAATATTCACAAAATAATTTCTAGTATTTCCAAATCGAATTATGTATTGCCTTGGGATTATTCATTTCTAACGTAGCTCCTTTTTTATGAGTTATAGTTGGGACGTTCAATATTGGCATTGTCCGCAATAAAACTGTTGCATTTATTTTCTTCATTTAACTTACTAATTAGACTAGAGTCATTACTGATAGAACGCCTACTTTTGACTGACGACAAACGCTATTGGGAATATCGTAAAGATAGAAAAGAGATGCCAGGTGGGAATTGCAGCGGACACTAATAAATAAAAAGGAATAACACTATACCAATTGATGTGTAGCAGAAAGAGATGCAGACAAGCAGAATTTGAGCATGTTGTCAGTATCGGACTTTAATGAATGTTTAACATATTTAGAAAAGCACAAACGCGTGTTTAAAGTTATAATTCCAAACAGGCAGTTATAAAGCCGACCCTGATCTTTTGAGTACTTAAGTAACCTCTAACCGCTGCACCGCTTACTGTTATTCAGTTATCTCTTTTCACTTC